GTCTTTTCAGGACATCTGTCTATCAAGGAAAACTTCCTTTTCCCTCGTAAACTTTCAGGCAAATCCATCTTTTACAAAAACTAACACCAACACAGTGGAGGAACCAAGGACTCGTGGCAGGCTTCAGATCAAATGATTTAAAGTAATTGTGATAGCACCACATCTTTGCTTGCCACTCTGGCTGGATCTCTAGTAGTCCTTTCCTCTTGGAAAAGCTCTTCTCCAAGAGTTGCTTTATTTTTTTATAACCTCTGTGTTCCCAGAGGCTTACAATAGGGAAATTAGAAGTACCTGGGAGGCACCTCTGGTCTCTCATTTCTTGGTTTCACATGAAGTCTTTTCCCTGTCTCTCTCAGCCTCCTTGCTAGAAGAAAGATAAACTGCAGCTGCTCTGGTTCTCTGAACACTGCAATCCTCACAGTTAGTCCCAGCTCACTAGCTGGTGACCTGTCTCCATAGTGACTTTGTGTTTGCCGGACTATCATTACATAGCACAGCTTGCATACTACAGTTACAGTGCTATTTCACATTTCCCAAATAGGACACTAAATCTCTCACCCAATGTCTTTAAACTGGGGATCTGACAAAGCACAGGCACCCACATCTATCAACACAGCTGACTTCAGAAATTCCTGAGCTGCAGCACTCCGGAGGCTGGGAAGGTGAGCCAGGGAAGGATTACCATGTGCTTGCATTACTCTTCTATTCTTGCCTGGTCCACTGGGCTAGATATTTGGTGTGCCCTGTTACAGCATTTCTTATGTTCTCAGGTTGTATAGTGACCCATAAAACCCCTGCTAACTCTTGGGAATCTGAAGGAATCGTCAGCGTTGGGACATTATATTAAGTCCCCGCAGCCCTGTTACGTCTACAATTGCCTGTGCACATTTCACCTGTGGAGTCAAATCCAGACCACAGCACAGATTAAAACCGCTGACTACAGGACACAGAAGCCATTTTTAAAGAAGAGATAATAGCTGTCTTTTTGTTGTTAAGAGGACAGTGCTTCTCAACCTGTAGACAGATATGCCTGTGAAAGACAGCTAGCAAAAGCAAACCTACCTGCACAGCATGGTTACATTCATGATGCAGGACTCTCCTTCACTGGGAACTTTAAAAGAAAAAGTTTAGGGAAATTTCATCAACACATGTTGAAAAGGTGCAAAAGCCTCTGGCCGCGGGGTTAGGCCGCTCACTGAGGAGCGGGTACAGCCTTTCTCTGCCTGGATCCATGCCTTGCCGATGCAGACGAGCGCCTCAACCGCCAGATCCAGGCTGAAAGAGAAGAAATTTTCACTATTTCTGCTCATGCAGTGCCACCAAGTAGCAAATAATGCAAAATTAACAGAGAAAGACTGCCTCGTCAGGGGCAAGGGCTCGAGCCGAAAGAACCGTGGTTCTGGGCTCCGTCCCCTGATTTCAGGTGGACTGTTTAAGGCAAAATTCACAGTACAGAGAAGCGGCCCGCTGTCCCACCTTGTGGGTCCTTCCCCGCTGTCCCCAAGCGAGAGCGGGAGGTCTCCACGATGGACTCCTGGGGGTCGACTGAATTCACCTCGGTTATTTGTCAAGTACTTCGGCCAACAGGCAACCCCCGTGGGGCGCTTCTCCTGGCCTGCCAGGGAGGAGGAGGCGGCGGCCGGCAGGCAGGCGCAGGGCCGGCGAGAGGCCCGGCCCCGCTGCAGGTGGCACCACCGGCTCTGAGGCGGCAGGTGGGG